GAGAGAAGTGGAGGGAGGCTATCAAAGGCGAGCTAGACAAAATGGAGAAACTCAAGGTCAGGCGCAAGATCAAGAGATAAAGAATGGAGGAAGGGAGACGATGTGTCAAACACACATGGGTGCTGGAAATCAAGCGAAATGGAAGATTCAGAGCTAGATTGGTGGCCTGCGGGTACAGTCAGGTAATTGACCCGATTATTGGATTAAAATAAATTTGATCTAGGAAGAAACATCTACGTCCTCTCGGCGGAGATGGCTAACGGGACATCGACCTTCGCGCATCATCTTGATTTCTACTAGCTGGTGAACCCAGACGATCCGGGGAAGACGGAACGAGACCGGCCATAGTGTATCTTTCGATTGCCAATATGCCGCAGCAAGGGACATTGCTACCATCCGCGAAAACCAATGAGAACGTAGTCTCATTCAAATATCCATGGACTGCTCCAACAGGGCTAAGACCAAACATCCAAGAACCAGGGGACGAAATAGTGTACATACTATAGCCACAACGGGAGGTCTCAACTCTGGATGGGTGCTTAAGGCCAGAAGCGCGACGAACAGTACTACTTGATGAGCCTAATTTTAACTGCACTGGTTCATGAACTGCAGATGTGATGTCTCGCGTCAGGATAGAATAATTCAGCGCGAATTCGGTTACATCTAGTCATAGTAGAGCGTAAATGCCGCGCTGACCTCTTGGTGGATTGACCACAGACGCTTTGCCAAAAGGATATGTTGTTCTAAAATCCCGGAGACGCAACCGTATCCGCGATACAAATTGAATTCTATGATATATCTCGGTGACTTGATCTCTAATTTTTCTCACCAATGGTAGAAGAAGACGATATCAAGTAAGTGCTTCAAGGGATTAAAGATCGAGGCTTGAACATGAACATAGAGTACGAACTCACGGACTACCTGAGCTGTGAGATTCGGATGAATCCCCGAAAAGATGCTGCATGGGTGGGACAACCCCACATGATTAAGAAGATTCAACCACATTCGGAGAGGAGGTACAGAAACTACACCAAGTACAAGACTGCGGGAACACCTGGACTCGGAATAGTAAAGACAGACGAACAGAGCGAATGGATCGCTGAAAAACAACAGAGCAGATAACGAAAAGGAGTAGGCATGCTCATGTACCTTATCAGCATTCAAGGCCAGAAATTTCGAACGCGGTACGAGAGCAGCTAAGGTCTTGGGATGCGAACGCCGGCAGCGTACAAGGAAATGCTACGCTGTGTAAAGTACGTGTTGGGTCAAGGAACCGTGGACTTTTGATGAGACCAGAGAAGAACGGAGGACCGTGGAAATTGGAATATTCTCGGATTCGGGTTGGGCCGGAGACAAGAAAAACAGAAGATCAGTCACGTCCATTATGATCTTTCTCGAAGGTGTACTCATTCACTGGAGGTCCAAGCTACAGAAGGTCGTAGCATTGTCGAGTTCCGAAGCTGAGTTTTACGCGTGTGGCGAAGCAGGCGAGAAGTCCCGTTCAATCGCCAATTCTGAAGTTCCTACAGATCAACGTGGAAATACCTGTGCAAGTGAAGATCGATAACGTAGGTGCTATCTTTATGTCGAGAACAAGACAAGGCAAATCGAACAAGGCATATGGACGATAGCGGGCAAGTGACACGAAGTACCAAATGCAGCAGGACGGCCTAGTGAAAATTGATTTCGTTCGCTCGGAAGAAAACGTGAGCGACATTGGAACAAGAATGTCAACGTCGAGACCTCGACAGACATGCACCGAAACTGACGGGAGACAAGGAGCAATTGGTTTGGAGTTGGTAAGAAGGTCGCTTCCATCATCGCGAAAACAGGAAGGGTGTCAGAAAGGTATTTTCGTATGACGGACCGACGACTCGGGATCCACAATCACGGTTCGTGATTGGGATTGTGACTCAATATCAGATGGTATCCGATCATCATCAGATGCCAGGGTACGAGGAACGAGGACAATGGTCGTCTAGATGATGCAACTACAAAGGTTAGAAGTTAGGTCGAAGAGATGAATGCAAGGAGCGACGGGATGAAAAATGAATGGACGGATGAAAGGTCCATAGGTTTAGTAAAGTGGAAAGCCCTCCAGGGCCAACCATGCACTTCAGGAAGATAGATCGACGAGATCTATCTGCAGATGAAACTGCGAGAAACAGAGGATCGAAAGATCCTGGTATATGTATGCATATCAGAGCTCAGTTGTAGAGCTCACAATCTGAACGAGAGAGAAAGAGAAAACGAAACAGATAGCCAGTCTACTAGACAGTAGAGCTGGAAGGATATTGATTAAATTAGAGAAATTGTGCGTTCAAGTTCACACCTTTTCAACAAAGAAAAACAGATGGCTGGCTAGCTAGCTACTACTAGTAGGTCTACAGCTGCAGCCAGCTAGCCTGGCTTGCCTACGGTGTAGCCACTGCCAATCAAAATCAAACTGGTTGAGGGCTCATGCCTTGGGCAGCCTGAATTCTGCACAATGACACAAACTGCCGCCGGAGACATCACCCACACAACGGGGTACCCTACTAAACTGGAAGAGTACTGGAAGGCCACCGAGCTTGAGCGTACCTACTAAGTAGGGATCCAAGAGACTACGTTGCTACTGTGGGCATACCAGTATCTCACAAGATGGCTCCTTTCAAAAGAGCATTGGTGCCATCATGGCTCTTGGTGGTGGCACTCGTCTTGACGGTGAACCTGGGTCGCAGCAAACCGTCGTGTATTTCATGTGAAGCATTGTCGATCATGATGATATCTTCATCATCGACAAACACAAAGGCCTCCACTGGAAGCTTTGGCTCAGGATCGTTTGCCGCATCCAAGAAGCCACCTCCCTACTTGGCCCTGATAACCCCTCGCAACACTTGCGACAACCAGCAACGCTTGGAAGATATTTGCAGTAAGCTCCAAGAGGCACTGGACACGCACCATGTGGACTTGGTGTCAGTGAGAATCACCAAGGCTACGGCAAACCCCAAACTGGTGTTGGAGCTCATTCAATTTCTGGTACAGCAGAGCAAGAACAACAAGTGTAGCGTCGTCGTCTTGCAAGATTGGCTTGATTTGGCAATTCAAGCCGAGGCTCAAGGGATTCATATCAAAGAAGGGTGCAGAGGCGAAATCCCCTTGATTCGACAAAGATATCAAGAAGCCAATTTACCACCACCGTTGATTGGGAGCACTGCGCATTCCGTCGATTCAGCTGTCGAAGCTGCCTCGTTTCGACCGGATTATTTGTTTGCAGGGAGCTGCTACTTTTCGGGTGACTCTCATCCGGAAAATCTATATTAGAAGGACCCTTGCTGCCGGGGTTAGTGGCAAAGGAAGTTGATGCTGGGTGCCCAGTGTTTGCTATTGGTGGCATTGAAATCAGCAACTGTCAAGAGCCCATTCTTCATGGAGCCTCGGGTGCCACGGCTATTCGGGCAGTGTTTCAAGCCAACAATGTTGCTGAGAGCGTCAACGAGCTCCACTCCAGTCTGCTAGAAGCCTACAACAATGGGGTGCAGAGTCACCGCCACAAGCATCCATTGCCGGCACAGTAGATCAGTTACTTCTTTGCGGCCTACCGCACCGGAATTAGTCGAAGTTCTTTTGTTCGGAGCACTCTACTTCGGCCGACCGGCACGTCACAATTTATACATTTGGTCCCCTCCTTTTCTCGTCCATGCGCACTAGCTATCATAGCTTGAGTATACACTTTCTTAGGTTCGATTCAAAACTGATGCCAAGCTCTCAAGAACTCTAAACTCCTCTCGTCTCTCAAGGCGCTCATTCAGAAGCATACATCTGAGAGCTCCGCGTACACCATATCTCTCCCCGCCCAAACAGACTTGCCTAGTAGCCAGGAGTTTATGGGGGGGTTAGGCAGCAGCGCGGGGGAGGGAAAAGAAAAAAGAAAGGGAGAGGGTTATCAGTTGGATTCCCAATTCCGCCGTTGAGAGCGTGCAGGGCATGTTCCAGTCATCGTGCGACACTGGTGTCAAGACTAAGAGAGGGGAAACGGCAGTGACCATGGTCTTCGCCCCCTGACTTCTAACTCTCATGTGTCCGAAGAACAATGTAAGTGTCAGCAAATGCATCACAACGGCATGAGGAACTATTTGGTCTCACACTATCTCGCAATTCAAATCGGATGCAACGGATAACGGATAGTCTGGCTCCCCAATCCTTCGCTCGCAGCAAACCCTCCCATAAATTCAAATCGATCGCTGTTACCAGTACTCTGTTACCAATCCTCGAAGGTGAGTGTTGTCGGTGTTCTTGTTGTTGTTGTTGTTGTTGTTGTTGTTATCCACAATGGTGACAATGGCATGCTAACTATCCTATCCGCCGTTCTTCTATCTGTCGTTGTTCTTTCCCCGCCCACCCATCGAAGCAAGACCGTCTCGAATCCGTTGACGAACGACGTGTCGGTAGATCCGGTCTCC